TAAATTTGTCTTGGACGATCATTATTGCCACTAATTTTCAAAAATCGGCAAACATTTTCCGTCTTCACCCCACCCAAAAACGTTAGGTTCTAAAACTTTTTAAGTCTTATATACGGAGAAGGTTTGTAGGCAGGTCCCATTCCAGAAAATAAGTGTAAACGAAAAGCATAAAAAAAACTGTTCCTCTTATGAGAAGATTTTATAAAAAAAATATATATATAACATACTCAATCTTTAAACTGTAATATCCAATTTAATATCGCCACCATTTTTAACATCTGATTAAGCCCTCCCAGTGTTTTTGGTGTCCTGCTCGGCATATATAAAAAGGGTCTTTTGAATACCAAGTGAACAAGTAGGGGGGGGAATGGGCTGAAATCTAAAACACGATTACAAAAAAAAAAAAATAACTATCATATTTTGCATCGAGGCTGATGTCACGATTCCATTGCTACTCTAAAGGAAGTTCCGATAGAGAGAGAAAGAACAACTCTTCAGACAGAAACTGCATCTGACTTATTATGTGCCATGTCCTTTCGGGACGTGGTCAAACATAGTTCTCCCCCAACTTCCTGCCCTTTCTAGCTCTTTGCAGTCTTTGCCTTTTTGCTATCTCTCCTAATTCCTGTTCAGCGAATCATTTACACAAGCTCGTTAAGTAGGTTATTCTTGTTTTTCTTGCCTTCAACATGCCCTGTGAGTGTTACATTTTCCAATCCCTCTTTCCTCATTGTGTCCTAGAAATTTCAAATGTTTCTTCCTGGTATTATGTGCAATTATATCTTAAGCTACTTTACTTGGGTGTGAGGGAGGCACGATAGAATAATAAATAGCGGCTCGGATTGAGAAATCGGAGAGCCGGGTTCGAATTCCAGTCGAATCCATTACATTCCTTTACGTGCAAATACCCTTGGGAAAGGTATAAATCTTCTCCCTCCAGCTATGACAGACTGGGTTATATAGCCTGGGATAGCAACTAATCTACCGCAGAAAGAAATGGCAATCTACTGCGGGAAAAAATCTGTCTCGTCAATATACATGATCGCCTAAGCGTATATCACTCATGGCACTTAAAAAAAAACCTGTGGAGGAGGAATCAACTTTGATGATATTGTGAGATATAGCTGGAGTGGCCCTGGTTTCTTGCGAAAATGAATATATAGGTGTTCCATTTCAAGAGACAAACATAAGGAACGTTTCTTTATACCAAGATTCACACACAGACATACAAATGAGTTGAATAAACAAGGGATCATTCTATGGGGAGCCAGCCATGAAACCATCCTTGACCCAAAGGCCACCATCTGATTATTTTGTGGTATGACTGAAGATAAAACTACTAAACTAAATCTTAGTAAATGCACGTCCATGCTTCTTTCATTTGCCGCAACAAATGACACCAACAGTACCAGATGATTTGAATTAGACAAGAAATGCAACCAGCCGAGGTTATTAAAAAAAAAACAAAAAAACTAGATACCGCTAATGTTGCGTATATTTTATATAACGGCAATTAAAACCAAAAAATGAACTAAAATGAGTTTTAACAATGTTGATATTTCTATACGAGTGAAGCAAAGCATTTCTAATACCATAAAAAAATAGCAAGCGATTGAAAGAGTCTAGTGACACACACTTTAGCAATGAGTCATGATTAATAAATTTACTTCTACAACTAAGCAACCGACAGACTTATTTGTCCCGACTTAAATACAGTAAAATTGTTTCATATAACTTAAAAGCTAAGAATAATATAATAAACATTTGAAACGAAAAAGAAAAAAGGGAGGAACTTAAATAGGATTTTTTTTTTTTTAGTATGAACTGAGTGGTAAGGGGGTGAATGTGACTAATACTTAAAAACAAAAAACACACGTCTGCTTTTTAGTTGGTTAAGATCAGACAGCCGGTAAAAAAAAAAGAGGGTCAACTTAGACTAGGGCGATGTAGTTGTTTCACTAAAGGTCATATCATAATGAGACCTTTCAAACTATTTTGATATTTCTTTTTCATTAGTTCTGAATTTGTTGCATTCCCCACTACATTATACTAGTACTTGAATTAGTTAAAATTGCTTTAAAGAACAGTTTTTCGTTGATGTTCTATGGGAGTAAACCTTTTAATAAAAACATTTTTGCTGACAAGACATTTGGAAATATTAGTTTTATTTCAAGAAATTAAATCTAAGAGTTTCTTGTCGAAATCAAAACAGTTAAAAAAAAAAAAAATGGTGAATGTACAGATTTTTTTCAAATGACAATTTGGGGAAAGCTTTTTGTGAAATTCAAAATGGAGGCGTTAGAAAACCGGTTTTTATTAGGAGGATGGGCACAATTACAATTTCTACTAGGTAAAAGTAAGGATATTAGCAACAATAAAAAGATTTATTGACTATCTTAAATGGAAAAATTATTTAAAATTTCTAAGATATCCGTTTGCTTCAAAACTGTCGAGAAATAAGCTAGTTTTTATTTTGGATGCTAAAGTGTATATTTAAAGTGGTTTGTTAAAGTATGGACAATTTTTTTGTAAGTAGTAAAAACGATTAAAAAATAATCGCCCTTTTTAAAGCAATCTTAAAAGTGGATCACTAACCAAACGGAAAGGAGTAGCAAGGTAAAGTTAATAACGGTTAGCAACAAGACAACCCATCGCACACACGTATTTATAATAATAATAGATGTGTTTCTTAGCCCTCACGAAACAGCTAATCAAGGTTTCAGCAATATAAAGACAATGTTTTAGATATGAAAGGAGAGCGCATGCTCTCCCCTCTCTTGTAAGTAAGAAAAAACATCAGCGTTGAGTGGAGAACGAAGTAGAATTTAAAATAGAAACTTTGAGATTTTATACAATGAATATAGTTTGATTAATCTTGTGTATGTTACTGTAGCAGAATTAGGTTATGTCTGGTCAGCCGGTAGTTGATTAAATCTTTCTTCCATTACTACCTGCTCTAAACATTAGAGCAGAAGACAATCATTTGAAAATTAAAAAAAAAAAACAAAAAAAAAAACGAATGTTTAAAGAAAAACATGGCGAGATGGACATTATTAATGCTTATAGAAGCTTATCGTACATATGAACCAGGTTCGTTTTTTGTTTTTTTTTTATAAAGTGGTTAAAATTTTCAGATGATTTAAGAATCGATAGTAACTACCTCGTGGAAAAAAAATAATCTGCAAAGTAAAAATTGTGTCCTTTTGTTTCCGGTACACATTGCAGTTAAAAATCCTAGTTTATATTTTTTCCCCACCTGCTTAGAGAATTTCTCATTTTTGAGCAAATAAGCTAAAATCCTATCTTAAATTTTAGAGATAACAACAATATTAAAAAAAAAATTGTCAAAGATGTTTTAAAGTACTAGAACTACTAGAAAAAAAATAGTAGTCGTAGTAGCAGTCGGCAAACAAATAATTCTTGACATCACGGTTTACCGTCTTTAAATACAAATCTTACAGTTTTTCTCAAGGTGAACTGGATAATAATAAATAGGCACTTATTTTAGTACATAAGCAACCAGAATGTAAGATTATATTCAATTCACACAACAATATAAACTGTACATAAAATTGATGTAAGTAAAATCTGTAACGAACAAGGGTGTGTAATTTTTTGGTGCAATGAAAAGACAGATTATAGATTGGTTTTATACAGGCTCTCGGATAACACAATTCACACTTAAATTAATGTAGACATGTCAGAGACTGGAAAAATGGAGTGATACTAAAAAACTCCGCCCAGAAATAACGTTTAGTTAAAAAAGAACAAAGAAAAATAAGGTGACAATGTCGCGAGGACAATAGTGGATTTGTTGAGTGTTGGTAGCTTACAAAGGGTTAAACCCTTTAAAAACAGATCTCTTCCATTGTAAGAGAGAAAATCCACCTTTTACGTCCACAAAAATGGTTGACTTAACGAAGGATCAAAAGTGGTATTGTAGCATAAAATAATAGTATATTTTGTTAAATGGAACAATACTAAGAACTGTGACCAGAAATAAATGTTTGTTTGTTTTTTTTTTGTTTGTTAGTAGTATAAATTAAACACTTTAGATTACAAATATAAAACAAAATTAATTATATAAAATTTAATAATTGGGGTCCGGTTTACTAATTTAATCTTAAATTGATCCCCCCTACGAAAGCCAAAACAAATAAGCTCATACGGCGTGATTTCTTAAAATGTAAGATTTTTTCTTAAATTCGTAATCTGGAATACTTTTTGCATATATTGCTATAGATTTAATTCCAAATTTTTAATTGTTTTTAAATAAAATTAAAACAATGGCTGATTTTTAATAATGACAGCGCGATAGAAGATACAGAGAAATCGTAAACAAGGCGTTTCAGTTGATATGCAATAAACTAGGGATTCAATCTAAATATTTTAAGTGAAATTAAGAGTGTGAAAGAGAAAAAAAACGAAGTTATTGAACTGAAAGCGTCGAAACTTCAGGTTTAATTTCAGAATCAGTAATACTTGTCATGAAAAGCAGATTAAATTAAAATGGTTTCACAAAATCAAGTTTTAGTTTCAATAAAATAAACATTCATTAATATGCTTATGCAAACTAATCTTAATAACCCGACTGAAGGACTTTTTAGATTGAAATGTTTTACTGAACTAAGTTAGAATCTTTCAAGGAGTTTCTCCCCCAAAATTTTGCTCATTTGTATTTGAAATATTTTAAAATATGTAGCAACAGTAAAACAATAATTATTTCATGCCGATCTTAGGGGAGAATTCTAAGATTATGAAGAACTCATTTGATAGTTTGTTAACACGAAAGGAGATGTTTATAAGTGCAGTTATCAAAACAGTAAGAAATGTTTTCTTTAGAGATTTCATAAAATAGACAGTAAAAAAAGGAGAGTAAGGAGGATGAGAGCAGAAAACCAAGGATTAAACTTGGATATTTGAAACACGAAAAAACAAAGTCAATAAAACATTGCTATTTAAACGAATAGAAACAAAAAGGAAAAAAGGGGATAACCTACTACTTCTCTTTTCCGTTTTTCCTCTTCTAATTCTGCTTTTAAAACTTCCTTCTCGTCCGTCACTTTAGCTACCTGTTCCGACAGCGTACGAAGCCGATTCTTTACCAGTTCCACAGACATTTTTCCCGGTAGATATTTCTGCTTATCCTTTAAGGTATATATATATATATATATATATATATGTATATATATATATATATTTATTTATTTATAAATCTCCTCCCGTCTGTAGGATTCAAAAAAAAAATTATAGGCTTTTAAGTTTTTGTTTTTCTCCCTTGTGCGGGGGTCTTTTTTTCTTTTTTTTTTTCCTTTCTTTTTCCCTTGTGTGTTATCCTTCCTTTTAGAGAAAATAAAGATTATTCGTGTCACAGAATATTAATTAACAGTAGATAAGTATTAATAAGAATATTATTAATAACAATAAATTAACATCTATATTGTGTAAATATAAAAATCCTCTGCCTGGTTATTGCAATGGCGGACCACTGACTTTCCAAGGTGCGAAAGGCCGGTAACCTGCGCACTCAATTTTATTTGACTGTATCGCTACACCGGAGTAAAACGTAGCGCTGGCAAAAAAATGTCGCAAACGTGTTTAATCCAGCCCGTTCTTGCCAACTTATACGAAATTTTCTATGCTGCACTTCCTTCGAAAGGAAATGTCCGATCAAGAGGAAAGGGCTAAAAATTTATTTAATTTTAATTTATTTATTCTCTCAAAAATGTGTATGATTCATTGGATATTTATACGCGGCCTACCTTATAAGGGGGTGGGTTCCAATCATGTGACACTGCCATGTTGTTATACTTGAGCTAACGACCTCCACCATCCCTCTGCCAATTCAAAGAGAAACAGACGAAGGCAGGGGGGCAAAGACAGTTATAGAGAGTGAGTCGAGTAACAAGAATGGACCATGGAGAGTGTTAGAAGCGCTCGGTGAGTGAAAGAACAATAGAAAAGCTAGACGATAAGAGAGGGAAGGAGAAGAAAAAGAAATCTTATTAAATAATTCGACAAAAGGAAAGGAATACCGTAGGAAAACGAAACACAGAATGTAAGAGAGAGGGAAATATATATACAGAGAGAGAGAGAGAGAGAGAGAGAGGAGAAAGAGGTAGAGGAAGTGGTATTTTATTCCATATATGGAAACAGGCCCGGGACTACATTACTACGATTTGTAGAGGATTCAATTTGTCAATGAATTCCATTGACGTCGGAGTCAGAAACGGATAGGAAAATAATTTTCAAGAACGGAAAACAAGAGTGGATAACTTAAATTCTTTTTTATTTTATCCAAGACAAAATATTTATTTCCTCCTTCGTAAGAATAAGAGGAAATGGCATTATTTCTTTTTTACATCGGAAAAGAAAACAAAAATCTTGAAAGATGTGGTTGCTTGGTGACAGATAATTTCAATTGACGTCACTCATTCGTTGCTGAAAGAAAAAGTTTTCTTGCAAATTTATGTAGAGAAGGAATTACTAGAAAGAATGGACGAGATTTAAAACGAAAAGAACGTGGATATTATGATATTTTAAAGGACAATTTTAGGTTAAAAAGAAGAATTTTAAAATATTTTATGAAATGGAAAGACTATGATTGGATTTTTAATTAATGAAATGGTAGCAATGAAAATGAAAGGTTTGTATCATAAGAAAATGTTTTGTCTACATTTTCTCATTATCATCACTACATACATAGCAATTTTTAATTCAAGAATTTATTTGATAGAAATTAGAATTAAACAGGCTTTATCAAGGGATATTATTATCTTCTCTCTATCTCTTTCTTATTTTCTGTGTGTGTGTGTGTGTTTGCGGAGCAGCTATTAAGTAAAATGTCGACAATTCATTTTACTGAGTCTAAAAAGGATGACAAATCGTATAAATTATTATTAAAAGATCTTACTCGGTTGATACTGGATTTTACAAGTATTTGATAAAGTATCTGCAATGGGGGAAAACTTGTTTTCGTATTGTTAGACCGGGTGCATTTTCCCATCCCTTATTTGTGAAACCCTGACAAACCCGCCAGAGAATTGTTATTTCAAGTAAAATTCTCTCTTGGTAATAGCAAATCTTGCAAATATGAGAACAATCTCAGAACAGATGATCTATCTATCTATCTATCTATCTGTCTATCTCTCTCTCTCTCTCTCTCTCTATATATATATATATATATATATATATATATATATATATATATGTATATTGAACAAAAAAAATATTAAAAATTAAAATCTTCAGATACACTGGGTTGTAGATTAATTAATATTCTTTCGTTTTTTTATTATTATTATTTCATTTAGATTCCTCGACTAGTTTTCGGCCAAAATGGCCATCATCGGGATTAATTTTTATTGTTCAATATATATATATATATATATATATATATATATATACATAAAATCATGTGTATGTATATAAAACGGGGTCACGGGAGACCTGCCATAGGAGATGGAATTTGGAGACTTATTAATGTCTTATTTCATATATATATATATATATATATATATATATATATATATATATATATATATATATATATATATATATATATAGACCATTTACTTAAATATTTGTAGCTATAAAAATAACGTATATAAACTATAAACAGAATATGTGTGTGTGTTTACAAACATGTCTTGTTAGAATAGATTCTACTGACAAGGTCTGCCTACTGTGTATTTTTTTTTTTTTTTATTGTAGTCTTCCAATTTTCGAATAAGGTGTACAACCGAATCAAGCTTTAGGCTAAAACTGTCCAAAGTTCATGTTTTGTTTTGGTTCAAAATTTGTTTATTCACAGTTTTGCTCTCGTCGTACATCTTATTCGAAATCTGGGAATATACAATGAAAAATCTGGGAATATACAATGAAAAATAATGAAACCGAATTTTAAACCAAACTTATTTGCTTCCTAAATAAGCGTAGCACGACAACCATGTTCCGTTAAAAATATGACGCATCTCGCTTTTGTTTTATTTATTAAAAGAAATACAATACTACACAATATGCAATGAACCTGTATCACTGAAGAAGAGTCAAAATAGTAGAGGTCAGAGATTATTAAACACAACAAAACCCTTACTAGTCTTACACATGTGTTTCTAAACGGCAAATATTTGATTGTGTGAACCAATATTGTTGAGTCTTTGTTCATTTATTTTTTACCAATGATTTGCGTTATAATGGCTGCTAAAAATGGAAAATCTAATAGCGTTGCATTTTTAGAAGTATTATTCAAGTTTAGCGCTTCAAAAGATTTATGCATACAAAGCATTGATTTGTCTCCCTTACATTCCGAAAGTTATTTTATTTATTTATTTATCTATTTTAACTAGCCTCATATTTTATGTAGGCTGTCTTTTGGATTTGAAGTAAAAAAAAAATATTCAGAAATTAAGCTAATGAAAAAAAAAAAAAAATTCACCGAAAATACATTTTTTTTTCCTTCTATAAGTAAAGAATCTGCGCGGAAAGTGGAATGACGCACCGGGTTCAATTTTCGGCCCAGTCCGTTGCATTCACTTTCGCACAAATTCCCTTCTAAAGGCTTATGTGTTTTAAATAAGCGGCTTATTCCTGGGCTTGAGCACCAAACAGAAGACATACTGCCATTAATTTTCAAAATAAATCAGGAGACTTCATCTTCCTTTTTTAAGCATTAACTTCTAAAACTTTTAAGCTTTAAGTGGGAAAAAGGTATCATTTTAGAAAAGTAAGTACAAGCGAATAAGAAAAAAGGTTATTTAAAATCAAAACAAGTTTACAGTAGTATAATGGATCTAAAAACAAAATATAGTAAACCGGACCCCAATTATTAAATTTTATATAAATAAAGGATATCATATAGATGTTTGCCTATTTTCTGGTCCACACTCCTCCTTGTTTTTGTTTTTTTTGTTTTTTTTTTTTGTTTTTTTGAGCAGAGTAGAACGTTATCCCTTGTTTCCTGTTTAGAGGATTGGGTTTCCGGCTTCTTCTAAAGTCTTTTCCCTTTTTTCACTTTCAGTTGCCCCTTGCATCTTAGTGGCATTATTGCCTTGCTTGGGGTGAATTGATTTAAAAAAAAAAACTAAAAAAAAAAACTTAAATCTTTCAAATTTAACATACACTAACTTTTAACATATGATTTACACTCCGACTTTTCATTTTGTGGCGCCGTGCTTGATATGTATATAGAATTTTCAATAATTAAAAAAATTAAATCAAAGAATTAAAAAAAAAAAAAGAATTAAAAAAAAAATTTAAACAAAAAAATTAAAAAAATTAACATCAAAATTGTTTTTAACCCATCTACCCAATTTGGAGATACAATCCTAATTTTCGAACAAATTTATCTCACTTGTAATACAATAGGTTTTAAAACGTGCAGGTATCAACGCATAATCATACATGAAACAAGGGCAAGTAACTCTGGTTTGTTAGGGCGTTGACAATCCTTTATTCGTCTAATACATGTTAAGTAAAAATAAAGCTTTTTATTTTATTTTCAACAACAATTTAACGCGATCCCAATATACACTCATGGGTATCAAAGGGTATTTGTATGCTAAATTCTAAATCCCTCCAAGAGTTTTGCTCTGTACAAAATCTCTCTCTCTCTCTCTCTCTCACGCACACATACACATTCGTCTTCCTTAGTAAGGTTGGTATGTCGACTCATTTGATAAGACATGTGGCTAATAATATGACCAGGTAAAACAAAGTTTATGTTAGAGTCTGAATAATTTTACAATCGAATTGGTTCTCTTTCACGGGCTGTGCATCCAACCTCGTTTGAATATTTGTATTTTACTGTTTTTGTAAAATCCGCGATAAAAGTTTGGCCTCTTTTTGAAGCAAACGTTTTATTGAGGTCCGTTAGTTATTTTTAGTCTGTTGATGATATTTCATTTAAGTTTCATATTTTAACTATTTTTTTTTTCATCACACACGACGAAGAAAAAACTAAAACAGATTCTGTAGTGTAATGATGTCAGGCGACACGTTCATATGCATACCATTACCAACAACTTGTTGAATTAATAGAACAGAAGGGTGTGTAGTGTGTACACAATAATAGCCTGACTTGGCTAGCTATCAACTGTCAAAAATCAAAATAGTCGCAGGG